ACAGTAATAAAAAAGGAAATGCAGTTAATACAAACAAACAGTTTGCTTCTGTCTACACTATAGAGGATGCTAAACTAAATTCCAATAATAGCTATAAATTAGGAAGTGGAAGGGAGAATGAAACTTGGCAAAATTCAATCACGAGGAATCTTGAATGGCTCTAAGCTGGATTTCTGTATAATGGGAGCGAACATCAAGTGATTTAGTACATTAGATTCAGTTCTTGGGTCAGACAAATGAGGCCAACACTGATGATTAAAAACAACACTGAGGTAAGAGGTAAAGATAGGGCACTTAGTCAATTGCACTTCATTATTGTTGATGAACGGGTTGCACCAACAGTCCATTCATCCCGATTGCCCTGTGGTCCATTATTTATGCCTTGTTTGTTAAATCTTTTTCATTTACCCATTTCACAGAATGGAATGAGCAGTGATTCACCTTCAGCAGAGCTCCACTTTCTTAAAAAGTCTCCTCACCATACATTTGGCCTCAAAATCTACACTGAGATGCTGACATATAAACACTTAATGCACTCCCTTGAAATCCTTCTTGCTATGTCCATCTGTTGGTCTTTTCCTTTACCCCAGTTTCAGGCCATGGACTTCCATTGCAATGTCCCACTATTTTGAGTACTGTGATTTGCCATTGCCCTCTGGAGTATAGCTAACCAGGACTCTCCTGCTCTTGCCAGTCACCATTAGGCCGATGAAAAATGATTAAAAGCTAATACTTGGCCATATAAAGAACACAACTTTCTTGGCCAGACATCCTGGTGTGGGACTTGAACCCAGAGCTCCAGGGAATGCTATCACTGTGCCACAAGCCCTTCACAGAAGACTTAACCAATTTAAAACAATTGCATCACCACAAAAACAGCAAGGAGGAATTTTTTTGCAATCCAACCCTTAATTTTGCACCTGAAAACTTGAAGGCCAAAAAATGTCAGCTCTTTAATATTGATATTCATACCCCATGACATCAAGTCAGGGCTTACAAGTAATTCTGCTTATTGCTGAAAGGTCCAACATGTTGCCAAAGCTTTTCATCTTGCACTCATCAGGACAGATGCAAGAATGCCACATTTCAAAAAATTACAACAATTTATACAACATCAGAAAAGGACACTTGTGGCAAGTTGACCCTGATTGGCTGAGGCTTTGCCATGGAGGAATTAAAATCAGCCATGATCTCACTGAATGATGGGATAGGTCCAAGGAGATGAATAGCCTAGTCTTGTTCCTGCTAGAGTAATGAGGAACTATCAGCTCCCCAAGCTCCCAGGTAATTCCACAAAGGTTCAAGGCCTGAATATGCTTCTTTTGTTTGCAGTGTATAAAAGTACGTCAATGCCAGCAAGATAAAAGAGCCATATTATGAGTTTGACTCAATATCTTAAATTGGTTGTTAATGTTTACATCTGGCTGCAGGGGAGGCTGGGTCTGCAACAGCTCCCAATCCTTTTTGTGGAGCCAGGAGGTACAGTCCTGTTCCTTCAGCAGCACGATGGCGCAGTGGTTAGCACTGCTGCCTCGTAGCATAAGGACTCGGGTTCGATTCCACCCTTGGGGCAACTGTCTGTGTGGGGTTTGCACATTCTCCCTGTGTCTATGTGGGTTTCCTCCGGGTGCTCCGGTTTCCTCCCACAGTCCAAAGATGTGTAGGTTAGCTGGACTGGCCATGGGAAATGCAGGGGTACAGGGATGGATGGGATGCTCTTCTGAAGGTCAGTGCAGACTCGATGGGCCAAATCACTGCTATCTGCACTGTAGGCATTCTACAATTCTAGGATTCTGGATGCACATAAATGGAATTGCAAAAAAAAATGTTCCTTGTCTTTCTTGGTCATCTCTTAGTGAACCACTTGAATGACTGACTCATCAGCTGAAGAGCCAGCTCAAGTGAATGGAACATGTGCACCACAATTACCATCTAGTCGACATCCACATTTGTATTGGCATTATGAGGTAAAGGTGAAGTATTACAGTCCTACCAGCGGACTGTCTCATGACAGAGAGAGACAGGGACAGATAGAGAGAACTAGCGGTGGTTTAACCTGAGAGGTGAGGAGAGAAATTGAGAAGGACAGTCCTTCATGGTAACCTGAGCCAGTGCAGGAATTGAATTGGGATCATTAGGACAGCGGTAGACCCCCAGTTTTATCCCTCAATCATCCCAATGACTCTTCTAGGTTCATGTCCTGCACATTTGGAAGCCCTGATCTTTCAATTTGGTGGCCAAAGCAATTCTGGGGAATATCAGGAGTCAAAAACTGACGGCTGAAATTTGTTACATGAGTAGACACAGTGGGGCAGAATGGCCTCCTTTAAGTGCTGTAAATTTCAAGGGCTGTGAACATCGCTGAAAAGAAGAGGCATGCTATTGATAACTTTTGCCTTGCACTTATCAGGACACATGCAAGAATGCCACATTTCAATGGGAGTATTAATTTTTATATCATGAAGAAAAGCTGCTGGTTGGTGAAGGCTTCAGCATGGTGAATGTACCAGGGAACTATTGGGCCTGGTCATGTTTCTTTTAGTTGCAGAAGAATATGTGGAGATCAACAGCTATCATTCTCCACTCTACACTGTTCAGAGTCAACCTGCAAACAAAACAGTCCCCTTTTCTCATGTAGTATAAATTGTTACTCCCATTGAAATTTGGCATTCTTGCATCTGTCCTAATGAGTGTAAGAGGAAAAGCTTTGAGAACATGCCTTTTTTTTCTCAGCAATACTCACGTTTTGTACTACCACAAGATTCTATGAACCTTAACACTACAACCAAGAGAAAACAGATGCAGCAATATTCAGTATTTCCACACAAGTGTACAAGAAAGCTGCGTACTGTTTCAGTAATTTCACAAGCTCTCACTAAGAAAAAATATTGTAAATTGGAAATATGAAAGGAAAACAGACAGCAGGTTGAACTGACAGGGGTAAACTGGACATGAGAGGCCTTCTGAATATTCTAGCTAACTTGGTCCAGAGTTGTTTCAGCCACATAGAGAATAAATGCACTTCACCCATTCACTCAATCTCTCAGGAGCAGGAGGAAAATATCTGAAGCTATTTTCAGAAATATCTGGAATTTAAATATATGCTCATATTCCAATCACAGCCTTTCAGTCACACAACAAAACATCTGATCTGGAAGGCTAATCATTTCTTGTCTTCAAGAACAGACACCTGCAATATATGTCCAGCTATCTCTGCTTTTGTCTCTATGGAAATTTATGTAAAATATTGCAAATACATTTGAAGCAAATAGAATAAAAATGTGTTAAATTATTCCATGCACATGGATTTGCAGCAAAACTATGATCGGAAAAACTGCTTTTTGTCCCAACTGTACACTCAACTGTTCATTTTCAGTTCAAAGCCCGCAGTAGGACTACGCATCACATCAACTAGGCTGGCCATCTAGTTTGCTGTCAAGGCAGTGTTGAATTATTGGAAAATCCTCCCCTTCACATCTGAGGAGATGGTGACATCGTGGCAACATCTCTGAACTCGAAATCCTGAACCCCAGGCTAATGTTCGAGGAACAAGGGTTCTAAACCCATAACGTTTAACATGCAACATTTGAACTCAAATGTGTGAAATGAAAATAAAAACTAGCCCATGGTAACCTTTGCCAATTGTTGCAGAGCCTGTCTGATTCACTAACGTCCATTATGGAAGAAATTTTTAATTTAGTCATACAACGTGGATGCCACAAGCGAGGCTAACATTTGTTTCCTATCCCTAATTGACCAGAGGATAGTTAAGAGTCATTGCTATGGGACTGGAGTTACATAGAGGCCACATTCAGTGAAAAGGGCAGATTTGTCTTCCTTAAAGTTCTTTGGTGAACTAGATGGATTCTTACAATTGTCAGTGGTCATGGTTAGATTAACTTTTAATTCCATTCTAAAGGTGGATATGACAACTCATAAAGGATACAGTGCCGCTGAGAAGTGAAGTTTCCAATATGAACGTTGCACATAGAATGAAGCTTTTAATGAGATGATATTGATACAGCAAACTTTTTATTTACTGGTACCTAGTGCGACCAGAATATGCCGGTCAATTAACATTCCGGATAATCAAGAGCTATTCACAATCGTTAGTGAACCCTGACCAATCGAAGATTTGACATCACATTCTTCAAACAATCGAAGTAAAAACATGACACACCTACTAAAATCAATATAATAACACACAGTAAGTAATAGAGGAGTAACGCAGGGGGTACATACGTCGCCTTTTTGGTTTATGTACAGCACGGTCGGACATCACGGTATTTTGAAGTATGTACTTATTGCCGGTTTATCAAGAGGACCTTCAAACTTAAGGTGCCGGTTAAAACAAAGTTTGCTATATTTCCGTACGGTGGGATGAAAGTTTGTCAGAGGAATATTATGTGGCATATCAATAATGTCAGAGACCTGGGCCAAAGGTTTATGCCTCAGCTATAAATACTATATGAACATATATAATACCACAAATGTTATTCTTTCAAAATTTGGCTAATGCCTTAAGTAAGCTACAATTTTGACAGAGTTTACTCATATCAGTTCCTAAAAGATGGGATTGCGCCCAGGGCTCAGTTTCTTCAGTATTGAACAGATTAAAATTGTGGAAGTGGCACTGCTATTGCGCAAAAATATTTTGCAGTAATATTAATAGAGTTTAATTACATATGCTAATGTAACATTATTGAATCTGGAGTCACAGGGAAACAGATGTTTAGCAGAATGAATCACTGCCAGTAGTTTTCTCTTTTTAAACAGTTAGTTGAGCAGATTAATCATGGGTGCACATGGCACTATGATCTATCTGAGCTGCTCTAACAAAAAAAAATTTCAGAAGTCACACGCCACTAGGTTGTAGTCCAACAGGTTTATTTGAAATCACAAGCTTTTGGAGCATAGCCCCTTTGTGCTGACTTTGTGTGACTTATGACTGTCCACCCCAGTCCAACACCGGTAACTCTACATCAAAAAAAAAGTATTACCATCCAATTCCTTCCATGGGATCATCCAACAAAACCCGCAGTATGTACAGAAGGCAAGTGAGTACCTTCAGGGAGAAGTTAAAGATTCGTATTCTTAAACCTGCAGGGAGAGAGAGAAAAAAAAAATCAGCGCCCTTGATTTAGAGTTGTTCCCAAAGAATGAATTCATTAATATCGTGTCGGTCCAGCTCAGCTCATCTTTGCCTCTGAGTAAGAAAACAAAATCTCAGTTGTTACGATCTTAGCTGGCATCATTACTAGACAAGTCAGATCCCAGATTAAAATCCGACTTGATAGGTCAAATTTGATAATTTTTATTTAATGTGGTGATCATTCACTGAAACACAAGCTCACAGCATTGCAGATTTTATTATGAATAAGGCAAAAGTTTATTACACAAAAGATATGAAGATAAAATAGAATAATCCACACTATTACCTGTAAAGCAATTTGAAAGATTGTGAAACAGAGAGTAAAAATACAATATTCCATCTATCCCAGCAGCATTCCTTTCAGTATTCAAACACTTAGAGAGAATTCCCCACTCTATCACACCAACAGTTCAACTTAACTATTACTTTCAATTCCCAAGTGTCTAATAGCCTCTTCTTTGAGTATTCACACAACTGAGCTTATACTTTCTCAGCTTTGAATAACCTCTTCACGGTTCTAACCAAACACTCCTGGTCTGGAACTTGCAAACGAAAACCCTTACTCTGAGGTAACATACTTCCTAATTTTTCTGAACTAAATCCTTTCTTTAGAGAAAATGTTACATACACCCATCTTCAACCAGTTCATCAGCAAACTGAAAGCAAATGTTTTCCCCTCAGCAAAAGAAAAACATGAATTTGTGATACTTCTAACTGGAAGCAGTCAGTTCTGCTATGTTTACTCTACCTGCTTGAAAAACTTTCACAATGCAAACAAATTCCTATTATCACCTCAGGAGGGTTTTCTCTTTCTCTCTCTCTCCGTCATACTGGCTTTTAAAAAACAAAGCATAGCTCTAGAAATACTGACAAATTAATCATTAAACCCGTTGGTATGCACAGGACAAAATCCAAAGCCATTAATTTAAAATCTAAACTCTAAAATAAATCGTATTACAACAATTTATATAAATCTCACATCTTACATCATCAGTATTGTGTTCTGACCAAGTGAGGCAAAGTGAAGCAACGTCAGCCTCTCTGCTCCTATGATGCTGCTTGGCCTGCTGTGTTCATCCAGCCCTGCACCTTGTTGTCTCGGATTCTCCAGCATCTGCAGTTCCTACTATCTCTGAAGCAACTTCTCACTTTTTAACTCCTTCAGTCAGCCGTAACAAAGATTTTAAAATTCATTTTAGCACATAGTGATTTCACACTTCAATGAAAATGTGACTCGCTAGTTCAGAAACAAAGAAGCCAATTACTGAGTTTTCTTAAGTGAAAGAAAAATTTTATTGCTTGCTAACTGAAAAAAAAAACACATGCTTACAAACACAGGAATGAGGATTTAAAAAGAAACAATGTCTCGTACATAAAAAATTTAAGAATATGAAGTTTTAAAATTTCTTAAGAGTTATTGAAGTTTAAGATTATAGCATCTGTACAGAGAGAAGCAGAGTGAACATGTTGAGTCTAATATGACCCTTTTTCAGTGCTCCAAAGAAAGGTCATGTTGGACCAAATCTCCAGCCACTACTACAATACTTTGCTTTTTATTTAGTTGTTTAATTGATGGCTCTGGTGCTCAGCAGGAATGAAATTTATGAATATTTTTGAGTTCTTGGCGAATGGATGTTTCTCTGACATAACAAAATAAAAAACGAAAGAACTGCGGAAGCTGTAAATCAGGAACAAAAACAAAGTTGCTGGAAAAGCTCAGCAGGTCTGGCAGCGTCTGTGAAGGAAAAAACAGAGTTAACGTTTCGGGTCCGGTGAGCCTTCCTCAGAAGGGTCTGAGTTGCTTTTCACGGGCGTTATCCCATAAGTCTGAGAGAAAACAGGAAGAGAGTCTTCCAGTTTTGCTATAGCAAATCTGTTTTTCCTCTTGCTGCTCTACCCAAAAGCTGTTGCCTGAAACGTAGTCCATTTGTGTATTCCCGTGTCTGGTTTCAATATTTTCCCCCAAGATGGATAATCAGAAGATGAACCTTTCAATCCAATATGTGAAACTTCCAATATGTAAACCAAACAAGAGATACAGATCCGAGTGACTCATCACAGTCATTTTGATGAGATATTATTGTCAGTTCAAACTGGGTCTTGTTTATTGATGGCTTCAAGAAGCTTGGCTCAAACTGGTGAGATGTCAGTATTGTTCCTTCTGTGAAATCCATGTAATTTCCCAGCTATTAAAACCAGATGGTGGAATTCAAAAATCGATGGTCCATTTTTATAACTTTCATAACAACTGAAGGTCATAAGAGCTGAATTTTGGTGAGATGTTTAAAAAAAGCCACTTTTTGAAAAGCAATGCAGTTCAAAATATGAAATAAAACTCAATATTTGAGAAGAAACTCATGTGTTCTGTTAGTAAAGTTATGTAATCCTGACAGCAAATTAAAAAAAAGGTGCATTATAAACTCTCCAGTCCTGAAGTCTCGGAAATAGTAAGAAGTGCAGATGCTGGAGTTAGAGACAACACAATGCGGACCTGGAGGAACACAGCAGGCCATGCAGCATCAGAGGAGCAGGAAAGTTGACATTTCGGGTCAAATTTCCAGCTCCCCTGATGCTGCATGGCCTGCTGTGTTCCTCCATCTCCACACTGTGTTGTCTCAGTCCTGAAGTCTATTGTACATTTTGAGAAGTCTAATCAAGTTGCAGCATCATCTTCAGTGGAAATTAAATAGGATTTTATTTAAAGGGGTTCCAACAGGAATAAGGTGACAACTTACTGTGAGGCATATTTTAGCAGGCATGAACCTGAAACACTCTAAGGGTCCATATCAGCATAAATGATTGGGGAGGAATGTTGTACACCCTAATACCTGTATCAGTATTGGGAACAGACTAGCGTCTATAAACAGTAAATAGACCTCACATCAGTGATCTAAAGAAACATAGCAAGGATAGTGAAATGGATTTAATATGAGCAAGCTAAACATGTGGTTGTTGAAGATAATGTTATCTGAGTAGTTGAAAGCACGTTTTCACCAGTTTGAGTCTCAGGGAATCAGTTATTTTTAATAGGCTTTCAGGACATGGCAGTGAACTTTGTGGACCACAGCAAACTAGAAGGCTTTGTTCCTTCTGCACAAAGCTAACTGCAGAGCTTTGCTGGTGATGAAATGGAAAAGTGACAGATGGGAACTCAATGCCATCAAGTGTTACATTAATGGCCTAATTGAGAAAGCTGGACTGCAACCAAGGGAAGGATCTTGCCATCCAAATTCTGAGGGGAGTTGACAGGATGGATACGGAGAGATTATTTCCCCTTCTGGGATAGTCATGGACCAGAGGGCATAATCTCAGAATAAAGTGTTGCCCCTTTAAGACAGAAATGAGGAGGGATTTGTTTCTCTCAGAGGGTAGTGAATCTGTAGAATTCTTTATGGCAGAGGGTTGTAGAGGCTGGGTCATTAAGTACATTCATAGCCGAGATAGATAGATAGATGGATTTTTAATCAGTAAGGGAATCAAGGGTTATGGGGAAATGCAGGAAAGTGAAGCTGAGGATGATCAGATCAGCCATGATCTCAATGGATGGTGCAGCAGACTCCATGGGTTGAATAAAATATTTCTGCTACTGTCTTGTAGTTGTATTATATACCAGAAGGCTTGTAACAGCCATGGGAGCGAACTGAAGAATTTAAACCGATTCCTGTAAACATCATATGTGACAGACCTAGAACAGAAGATTTCTGTTTGTTGTATAAGAATGGACTTTAAATAAGGTACGTGTTGATAGAACCCTTGCTGATTTTTCATTATTTTTATTTTTATTCTTTTATCAGTTTTGAATTATGAAATGGAAATAACTTGTGGGCTTTAGCACAGCCTGTGTTAAAAGGAAAAGAACAGACCAAACAACTTTTTGTTTGGGAGAACAAGCCTAGCAACGAATTGCAGGCTGAACCTTGATTAAAATGTTTCTAATGGACTCAGCAACCCAGGGGAAGAGCATTGTGTTGAAACAGACAGCAGTAGTTGGCTATTAATGAGATCAGTCACTGGGAATTGGTTCTGGTAAGTCTAAAAGAGACGCTATGTATAGCAGATGGCAGTTGTTGAATGGTAATTGAGGCCTTGGAGAAGTGAATTGGTCTGTGAGAGCGGAAGTAGATTTAAGTTTTGTTTTGAACTATGTTTTCTGTGAGGTAAGACCATTAAACCACAGAGCAGACTTGGGCCATTTGGCCTATCAAGCCTGCTCCACCATTCAATCACAGTTGATAAGTTTCTCAATCCCATTCTCCTGCCTTCTCTCAGTAACCCTCCATCCCCTTACTAATCAAGAGCCTCTCTATCTCTAACTTAAATACACTCAATGACTTAGCCTCCACAGCCTTCTGTGGCAATGAGTTCCACAGATTCACCACCCTCTGGCTGAAGGAATTCCTCCTCATCTCAGTTTAAAGTGTTGTCCCTTCACTCTAAGGCAGTGCCCTCGGGTCCTACTCTTTCCTACTAGTGGAAACATCTTCTCCATGTCCACTCTATCCAGGCCTCTCAGTATTCTATAAGTTTCAATGCTATCTCTCCTCATTCTTCCAAACTCCATTGAGTATGGACCCAGAGTCCTCAACCACTCCATTTATGCCAAATTCTTCATTCCTGGGATCATTCTTGTAAACCTCCTCTGGACCCCCTCTGACGTTGGCACATCCTTCTTTAGATACAGGGCCCAAAACTGCTCACAATATTCCAAATACATCTGACCAGAGCCTTATACAGCCTCAGCTGTACATCTCTGTTCTCATATTCTAGCCCTCTTGAAATGAATGTTTACATTGCATTTGCCTTCCTAACTGCCACTGAACCTGTATGCTCATCTTAAGAGAATTCTGAACTAAAACTCCCAAGTCCCTTTGCATTTCAGATTTACAAAGTCTTTCCCCATTTCGAAAATAGTCTATGCCTGTCTTCTTCTGACCAAAATGTCTAACCT